TTGGTCCAGCAGATCTCGAGTTATAAGTGCTGGAAAACTTTTCACAACTCTCTTTGATATATATAAAATAAAAATAATAAAATAACATAATAAAAATAAAAAATAAAATAAAAAAAAAGAGAAGATTTTTTTAGGATATTGGTGTTGGCAGGCAATGGACAAGTTTGTGTTATTTTTGTGATCGCAAACCAACAGTAGGCATTGACGAAGGAGAAACACTCGTGAAAAAGACAAGGTATGGACAGTCGGAAGTATGGAAATTTGTTACTAAATTGTCTAATGGTTCAGCTAAATGCGTATAGTGTGGAAAAATGTATCTTACAAGTGGCAATACCAGTAATTTATCTGGCCACTTAAAAAGAATGTATCCGACGTTAACTGTAAGCGAGCTTCCTAAGGAAACAGGGTCTATATATATTATGTAATTTTATTAAGAATATTAACAATGAAATCATTTATAATAAAAAAATCCCGATTTTTCATCGATATATATGTTTTTGATTGAAAAACATCGATGTCGTCAAACATCGATGTATCTCCAGCACTACTTCGACAACTGATATTTCAATAATGCACACGCATTGACACAGGTATGCAAACGCACGCATAAACACGCATTGACGGCAGTGTGGGATTACCTTGAAAGTTGTATTGTTTAATAACTTTTTTTGTCGATGGACTATCTTCACAAAACGTTCTAATATTTGAAATACGCATTTTACAAATATGAGGGTAAATTTTAACAAAAATCGAAATTGTATAAAATGCATCTTAATAAATACTTAAAATTTGGATTTAGCTATGAAGACGTAGGAAATATAATTCTATAACTGATTATCGATAAAGTTTTTAATCAATATCAAAAATAACGATGAGTTATGGAGTTTTAGTGATAAACTCGATATGCGCGATATATACACAGACAGTTTAAAAAAATGTGAAGTTCCTAGCTCTTATATCATCTGAAATCGACGCGTTCAAACATACGGACAGACGGACAGGACCCATCCTCAATGGGTTAAGTGTATAACATTTGTTTAAGAAGTATGGCTTACTTATTATATCATGTACTCATAGTATTTTTTTAAAATAATTTTTGTGCAGAAAATACAGAGGAAATATAGTTAAAATCTTACCTAGGTCATCATCCACTAATGAGTTGTGTGAGAAACGATTTTGGGGTGAGTGCACGTTTGGCGGTTGGTTTATCGAAGACTGGAAATGAAAAATTATACTATTATTATTAATTTGAAAACACTTCAAAATATAATATAAAATAAAATAAATTAATACAAAAACAAGTAAGAAAACTAGTCGAAAGTGGTCGACTAGATACTACCCTGAACCAAACTAATACGGACATTTAGTATGGCTAAAATCTTAAGAAAAAATATAAGAAAAATAGAAAACTCATTTAATTAAATATATAAGCATTTTTAAACAATTAAAAAACTAGACATCAATTGCGCGCTCTGGGTTTGAACCCGAGTCTTCTCCATCGTGCGCCGCGCCGCTACTCACAACACCACCTCTCTTGTGAAAATGATGATGGCAAAACTAAAACAGGTTCACTGAAGCAGCACCATCTAGCAAAAATAAACTTAACTTGCTGTTGAGAACTCTAGAACAACAACGGCAACGTGTTTCTAAGAATATGCCAGAATAAGTTTAAATGCATGTGTGCACACATATAGGAAAACAGTTGTAGCTGCTGCACGTGCGTTTGTTAATTGACCAAACATTTTATTAGTTTGTAACGTCGATTGGCTTAACGGAATTTAATATAATTAATATTTTATTGAATATTTTACATATTTAAAAAAATGCCAAATCATTCACAATTAGTCATACTGGCATCTGACCTGAACTGGGGAATTTGCTGAATTTGGAGCCGGTATCCAGAAAATAAGACAAGAGAAATTGTATAAAAATCATCTCAAAAAATATTAAAATTTTGAGACTAGATTTAAAGATTTTTATATCTGATTTTAGGTAAGGTTTTTAATCGATAACAAAGTAACGGTACAAGTTATCGGTTTTTAGTAATAAACTCGATTTCCGCGTGGTATACACGGACCTAGCTTTTACATCTTCTGAGATCGACGCGTTGAAAAGACTGATAGACGGACAGAGCCAAATCGACTCAGCTTATTGTCCTGATCAAGAATATATATATACTTTGTAGGGTCTGCCACTCCTCTTTCTGCCTGTTACGTACATTTTAACAAAACCTATATACCTTGATTTCTTATTTTTAATGGGTTCAGGGTATAATAAGTAAGAAGACTCTAGTCGAGACTGCTCGACTAGGAGAAATCCTGAAATTATAATCACTCTACACTTCTTGTAGGCACACATACATATACACGCTAACTGCACAGTAAGCAGCGCTTGGGCTGCGCTGCAGTGTGGGCAACTTTATTAGAATTTATTTGTTGAATAATTTAATTTCTAGGTGTGCGATCTTAATGAAACTTTCAGAACTTAATCATTATGCCCAAATTTATGTACATTCCAAAGCACAAGTCTAGTATTTTAAATACGGCTTTTATAAAGATGATGCTGTTTGATATAGAGTTGGGGGTAAATTTCAACAAAAACCGAAATTATATTAGTTACTCATTCGTCTACATTTAAAATGAGCTTTCGATAAGGGTTTTAATCGATTATAAAAAATTGGGAGTAGTAATCGATTTTTAGAGAAAAAATCGATATACGCGTGACATACATAGACCTAAGAAAAACAAGTAAGAACGTTGAAGGCGGGCGTTACCGACTGCTGAATACTTATTCACACCCCATCAGCAATTTAGTGGTTAAGTTTTGCTCTAATACTGTAGAAAGTTCAGTTTTTCTCAATTTGCCACGCCCCTAATAGGCGTAGACATTTTATTTTTGGCCAGCTCATGAAACAAGCTAACCGTAACCTAGCTGAAATTAGGATGCTTACGCTCAAAATATGATGAAATTACAGGGTATTTATTTATATGCCACGCCCCTAAAGAGGCGTAACAATATTATTTAGGGTATCGATAGAGGAGGTTACTGGTAACTTTACTATCTAAATTTCCAGCTCTTATAATTTAGGAGATAAACTAAAAGGCGCAGACATAAAGTTTTTAATACATTTTTATAGAATCATAACATTAGCTCACGTGCAAAATTTTAACGTTCTAGTTTAAAAACTCTAGGAGATATAGTTTTATCCGATTTGCCACGCTCTTAATAGGCGTAGATATATCCGCCATAGCACGTGATCTTCGGTGGTCGATGCGGATTTACATTCCAAATTTCAGCTTTATAGCTCTTCCCATTTTTAATGGGTGCTCTAGATACTATTAAATTGAACAAAAAACAGTAAGAAAACTGTAGTCAATACTAGAGAGACTTCGACTACGAGATCCCATGAAGCCTTTAAGCAACTGATATTTAAATAATTATTCGCACTTTCACACACACAGGCATACGAACGCACTCATAAACACCCATTGGCAGCAGTGTGGGCTTACCTTAGAAATTGAATTGTTTAACAACTCTTCTTGTTGATAAACCATTTCATGGTAGCAGTTGATGATAAAAACGTGGATATGCATACATTTGTCAAAGCACAAATCTCTAGTATTTGAAATACGCCTAATATGCATCTAAATATGGAGACTAACGTTCAAGATGTAGGAGATATAATTGTAAAACAGATTTTCGATAGGGTTTTATCGATAACAAATAACGGGCTGAGTTATAGATTTCATTAGATCTAATGAAACATTTTTGTCAAGCTTTTTGCATTTTCTTTTTGGTAAGTTTTGGCCAGCACGCACAGAATTGTTTTCATAGTAATTGACAATTTTCTAGAATAATGTAAGTAATAAGAAAGAATGATCTAGTCGGGACGGCTCGATTACGAAATCCCCTGAACCCTTTCGAAGAATTTATTTTTAAATATTTCTTCGCGTCTTTCTGCTTAAGCAAGAAACACGCACACACACAGAGAAAACTTTTATTGTGGATAGATCTTCATGTAACTTCTAGATTGTGATTATATTATTCAAACGCGAGCATTTGCCAAAGACTAATTCTCTAGTATTTAAGGGTGTGGGGTGAATTATATCAAATCTGATACGTCCAAAGGTGTAAGAGATGTATATTTTTTAAAGCCCACATCGATACAATTTTCAATCGATAAAACGGGATTATTTTCGATTTTTTAAAGATAAACTGGTGGGGGTAAAATTTTAACAAAAATCTAAATTTTATAAAGTAAATATGAATCTATACTCCAAATTTAGTGTACGAAGATTTATGCTGGAAAGTATTTTTCTTCAATTCATGAAATTCAATATTTTCCGTTTTCATATATCATATGTAGTACTCACGGTTTTTTCAAAAGTTCCCATGAACCTCTGTTTCTGTAATTGCGCTTGTTGACTTAAAATACCTGTAATTAAAAATGTAATTATTATTATCACGCGTCATATACAAAATAATAAATACCGTTGTCAAAAACTGAAGAGTTAGGTCGGTTGTTTTCCAAAAATATAGTTAATCGATGAGAATCCACATTACTTTTCTGAGATTGTCCATTAATGTACTGTTGGTGAATCTGTTGCTGACTTTTGTGAAAGTCGAAAAACTTTGACATATTTCCAACAAAAGTATTATTTACATTCAGGGAATTTTCATCAGGCTGCTGTGTGATATGCTGTGGATGCATGGGTGCATGTGTTTGTGTTCTATTTGCATCAACATCATTACCATAGTATTGTCTGGGGAAATCTAAGAAATAGAATAAAATTATATTTTGATTTTATACAATGTGAGTTATGTCATCATTTACTTTATAATTCTCTACTTATGTATATATGTAATTGATTCAACACCTAGTGCCATGAGTGATATACGAGCTCTTTCACTCAACCTGTCTTTGGCTTAGCTTTTATGTCACTTAACTTAAATATATCGCACATTATTCATTCGAGCACAATTTCCGGAATTCAAGCAGCACTCTAGTATATAAATACAATACAAAAACAACGTAAGTACTGCCCAATTTCAGAGCGATTAATTTAATAACCATTTGGTAAAAAAAAAAAAAATAAAATTCATACACTTAAAGTTTAAAGGTTTATTTCTCAAAAAAAAAAAAAAAAAAAAAAAAAAAAAATTCAAAAACTTAAAGTTTAAAGTTTTTTTTCCCAAAAAAAAAAAAAAAAAAAACAAGAAAGAAAGCT